TGCACTGATACAATTCTTCCGCGGCTTGAACCACTGAGTTCAATTTACCTAACACTACTTCCACATATCGCTTGACTGGAGGACTTTCTACTTGGGAAGGCACATTCGCCTGCCGATACGAAGCTTGAGCAATCGGTCATTCTTAGCTCTTCAGTCTGCTTTGTCCGCACAAATGGCTGTGGTTTCCCATATTTCTAATCAATTTCATAACATATCCATGGGGTCTGCGATTCTTTCTTCGGAGCCTTATCCTATCCTTCAATACTTCAACATATTTCAACGTCTATCCTTCGGTGACTTCAAGTGGTTCTGCAAATGATCGGCGCATCATATCCAGAAAGAATGTTTAGCTCCTGACCTACAGACCTGGCACAAGACAGGACCCAGGCTCGCAACAATCAGCAGAAAAATCGGACGCAACTTGACTGCGAATAACGGAGCAAACAAACGTTCAACGAGAAATATGGCCAGTACAACTTGCCATTCAATGGATTAACGGCAGTGTTTTAGGACGTGGTGGGTTTTCGCCTGGCAAGCGTTCTCCCTATAAAAAGCCACAAATGTCCGTTTAACAACACCGCAACGTGGCGAATGTGACTTGCCACCGAATAAAGTCACAGCCCATAACTTCACACTGGCAGATCAGTTAGCGTCGTCATTTTGGCGTGCTCTTCAATTATCTTCCATTGGATCATTCAGGATTCTCAATCTATTATTTTTCGAGGTATGACTGCAATATATGGCAGAGCGATTATGTCCAACCATATGGGTCCCGATTCACTACAACCAAATCGTTGTTTCTCATGTTCACCATTGCACAGTTCCAAGCATGGACATATGCACAATTTTATACTGGCACCACAGTTGCCATAAAATGTCTGTGCAGCTGTACATACCTGATCATGCCTCAATTGGCGTGCCTCGCCTAGTCGAGAATAAAATCTTTATTTATTTATTTATTTATTTACTCTGGGAGGATTTCCGGTTCATAATTCAGAACAACTTGCAGCTTTCTCGGGCCTGAACGGTTGCGTATGGCCATTTTCCTCTAATATTTGGTTCAACGACATATTACTGGATACCCATCGGATACATCACGCGGTTCTACCGACGGCAAATACAAAATATGCCAGCATGTTCGATTTATAGTTTACTTACCGTACAAGCCGTGCCATTCCGTCAGGAAGTGACAGGACTCATGGATGATACAGTCCCGCCCCCATCATGCATCGGCCAGCAAAAATTATGGATGTATCCTGACTGCGAGTAACAGCACATATAATCGGTCAATAGCATCCATTGCCAATTAAAGCTTGTAAATAAATAAATAAATATCTTATTCTTGACTATGCGAGGCGCGCTCATGGAAGCATGATCAGATAAGAATGGAAGTGTTCCAGGATGTGGTGGGTTTTCGCCTGGCAAGCATTCTCCCTTTAAAAAGCTACAATTG